AAGGAAAAGGAGACCTAGAAGGGAAGGCGGAGAGGGGTTAAGGCTGCTAGTGACCACCGTCCAGGGCGTGGGAGGGAGGCCTTGCTGCAGCCCACAGGCTCCGAGCCCGCAGGGGTGGGACAGCAGCGCCTCGCAGGCTTGTGGGGACCCGTGAGCAGCTCAGCTGCCCCCTCGCGGCCCCTCCCTTCTTCCTCCAGGAGCAGGGGCTTCCTCTTCCAAAAATGGTGCTGCGGCTGTGGCGATTGTGCTGTGGCCGGACGGGGGTGGGGGCCCCGGGCTGTGACTTGTGTGGGCTGTGACTTGTGTGCGTTCGGTGACTTGTGTGCCTGCGGTACGGTGCGCAGCCCGCGGGAGGGGCGCGGGTCTGAGCGGAAGCGCAGCTTCTCCGTGTGTGGGGTCGTCCCGTGGCCTCCTCTGAAATGTCCTTTTGTAGATGAGGGGCAGGAACGGGCAGGAGGCAAGAGGCGGGAGCCCCGTGGCTCATTTGTACTTTCACAGCAACAAGAGCAGGACCCCACAAATTTATACATCTCCAACCTCCCACTGTCCGTGGACGAGCAGGAGCTAGAGGGGATGCTGAAGCCCTTCGGCCAGGTCATCTCCACTCGGATTCTTCGAGACACGAACGGGACCAGCAGAGGAGTCGGCTTTGCAAGGTGAGGGACGGCAAGAGTGGGATTGCTGAGGGTAATAGAAATGTCACTAAGGAAGCCGCCAAAAACACCTGGGTCCCGCCATCTGTGCCCCGGCTAGGGTGGCGTGTGCGTCCTCTGGGAGGCTGAGGCAGGAGGATTTCAAATTTGAGCCTACTCTCGGCAACTAGCAACGTCACAAGATCATCCCTCAAAATAAAAAAGAAGAGAATATAGCTGAGTGCAAAGGCCCTGGGTTCAATCCTTAGTACTGCAAAAACAAAACTTGATCAAAAATGGACTGTATTTTACATTTTGTTGGCAGTCCTCCTGCCTCAGCCTCCCAAGTGCTAGGATTACAGGCGCCACGCCCGGCTCAACATTACATTATTACTTTTGCAGGGCTGAGGGTCAGACCAGGAGCCTCACATGTGGTGGCCAACACCACAGCACTGATCTGCACACACACCGGCCCCAGCCCCGGGTCTTTATCTTTTCACCAGCACGTGCTTGTGTTCTTTGATCCAGACCCAACCAGAGCAAAGTAATTCCATATGTTCTTACAGTTAACTGAGAGCGTCATTTATCTCGTTTAATCTTTATAATAACCCTGTAGATATTCATTATTCACTGAACAGAATATTATTTTACAGATGAAAAAGGGAATTCCAGCTTGTGTACCTGTAGTAATCCCAGCTGCTGGTCAGGCTGAGGGAGGAGGATCACAAGTTCAAGCCCAGCCCAGGCAGTTTAGTGAGACCCTGCCCCAAATCAAAGGGGCTGTGGATGTAGCTCATGGGTAGAGTACTTGCCTAGCACGCAGGAGGCTGTGGGGACTGAAAAGAAGAAAAAAAAAGTTTATTTGACAAGAGATTTTTTTTAACTTAAAAACTATTGGAGTGTAATCTGAAGCTCTCTTTTTGTTTACAGAATTTTATCTGGTTCATGAACGCTCCCTTAGCCTGAGTGTGTTTTTTTTTTTTTTTTTTTTTTTTTTTCTTTTGGTTTTTCTCCGGTACTGGGAACCGAACTCACAACCTTGCACTTGCCAGGCAGGCGCTTTTGCCGCTGAGCTAAATCCCCAGACCGAGTGTTTTTGACCTTGGGAATAAACATTAGGTCCTCTGCTCTAGTGAGCTCAATCTGGGTAGCACCACCTGCTGGCCATTCCAGGTATAACCAAGGAAAGTTCCTAGGTTTGTAGTGATCACTTTTTTTGTACTGGGGATTGAACCAAGCCCTCACATGTTCAATGAGCAATGCTCCTGGCCTTTAAATTTCATTTTGAGCCTTGGGTGGTGATGCACACCTGTAATCCCAGCACGTGGGAGGCTGAAGCAGGAGGATCACCCAGAGTTTGAGGCCAGCTTGGGCTACATAGTGAACTCAGGTCACCTTGAACTATACAGTGAGACCCTGCCTAAAAAAAAAAAAAATCATTTTGAGGCAGAGTATTGTCCAGTTGCTAGGATGACCTCGAACTTGTGATCCTTCTGATTCAGCTTCCTGGTAGCTGGGATGATGGGTGTGCTGCCACCATACTTTGTGGTCATCACGCTTGGGGTTTGAACTCTTTCATTATGTTTTTATTTGAGGCCGGGTCTCCCTAAAGTGCCCAGGCTGGGCTCAAACTTGCTATCCTCCTGCCTCAGCTCCCAAGGTGCTAGGATCACAGGCTTGTGCCACCACACAGCTTTAAACATAATTTGATACACAGAAGTGTCCATTTAAAATTGTATGGATTGAGCCGGGCGTGGTGGTGCACACCTGTCATCCCGGCACTTGGGAGGCTGAGGCAGGAGGACAGTTGTGAGTTAGAGACCAGCCTGGGCTACCAAGTGAGCTCAAGGTCAGCATGAACTGCATAACGAGACCCTGCCTTGAGAAGACATGAGAGAGATTTTATTTGCCCACATAATTTTTTTTTGAGACAGGGTCTCCCTTTATATTTCAGGCTGGCTTTGAACTCAACTGTGGAGCCCTATCTGACCTCAAACTCAGGGCAGTCTGCCTGCCTCAGCTTTCCAAGTGCTGGGATTGCAGGCATGCACGCTCTTACAATCTTTAGAACCCATTTATATGCATTACTCATTTAATCTGTGCAGCACTGTATGATTGGGTAGATGGATGTTGTCTCTACAACAAATGAGGAGTGGCCCGGGTGTGGTGTCGCACGCCTGTAATCCCAGCACTGGGAGGCTGAGGCAGGAGGATTGCCATGAGTTCTAGGCCTCATGCTACATTGAGTTCAAGGTCAGCCTAAACTGCATAGTAAGAGGCTGTGTCAAGAAAACCAAACCAACCAAACAAAGCAAATGGGAAATGAGCCCAGAGGGCCTTTGTGGTTGTGCTACTGCCAGAGCTTCGGCTGGTGACCTGGCACTGGTATCGAATTCCTGTGATTCTTTCGCACGTCTCTTGTCCCAGCAAAAAACTTTAACTCAGTCGTTTGGACATTGCTTTTTTCCGTCACTGTAGACCGTATGCTTTTGCTGGCAGGGACCAGCTGCGGAATCTCGGTAGGGCCTTCTCTTTGATTCTGAGAGGAGCCAGGGCCTAACCTGTCTTGTGCCCCGTAGGATGGAGTCCACGGAGAAGTGCGAAGCCATCATCACCCAGTTTAACGGGAAATATATTAAGACGCCCCCCGGAGTGCCAGGTGAGGCATCTGCGGCTGAGAGCCGCCGTGGGGAGGACGCGGAGCTCGGCTGAGCGCCTGGGGGGGCCTAGCTCCCGTCTGCTCTCTCCCGCCAGCCCCATCTGATCCCTTGCTCTGCAAATTTGCTGATGGGGGACCAAAGAAACGACAGAATCAAGGAAAGTTTGGGCAAAACGGACGGGCCTGGCCAAGGAACGGAGACATGGTGAGGGGCCCTCTGCGGGGACAGGTGCGCCCAGGACAGCGGGTGGAGGGGAGCTGACCGAGACGCTCTGCCCGGCCGGAAGCTCTGGAGCAGCTCCGCTGGGACTTGGCCAGACTTTAATCAGTGAACTAGTGCACCCCAGCTTTGGCCTTCCGGGCTTGCCTCTGCCTCTTCCAAGCACCTGCCTGTGAACCCTGTGTTCTTTCTTTACAGGGCGGTGTGGCCTTAACCTATGACCCCGCCTCAGCTCTTCAGAACGGGTAAGGGTGTTTCCTGTAATCAGGGAACCTGAAAATCACAGCAGCGCCAGGCGTGATGGTGCAGGCCTGTCATCCCAGCACTCGGGAGGCTGAGGCAGGAGGATCGTTCTGCCTGGGCTACAAAGTGAGCGTTCAAGACCAGCCTGGGCTACAAAGTGAGCTCAAGGCCAGCCTGAACTGCATAGCGAGACCCTGCCTCAAAAAGACAAAAAAAAACTTTAAAAAAAAATGATAGCAGCTGTGTCCAGGGACTTGGATGTTTCATCTCAATTTCTTTTAGGGGGTGGGTGTTTGAGACAGGGTCTCACTGTGCAATTCAGGCTGGCCTCAAACTCACAATGATCCTCCTGCCTCAGCCTCCTAAGGGCTGGGATTACAGGTGTGCGCCACTGCGCCCAGCTCATCTCAAATTTTAAATCGAGTTAGTGGAAAACAACTGTGCTTCTAGCAGTGGAGAGGCCGTGACCTTGCGATCTCCGGTGCCTCCTTACTGAATGAGGTTCCTTCCTGTAGGTTCTACCCCGCGCCTTACAACCTCACCCCCAGCAGGGTGCTCACACAGTCTGCACTCTCCCCGTATCTCCCATCTCCGGTGTCTTCCTACCAGGTATGTTCACACTCAGAAGAGGGTGTGCTGCTTTTCCCTACCAGGTGATTGATGGGTTGGATGATTGATTGATTGACTTTTTTGAGACCGAATTTTGCCATGTAGTTCAGGCTGGCCTCAAACTCACAACGATCCTCCTGCCTCAGCCTCCCGAGTTGTGGGATTACAGGCGTGCACCACCACACCCAGCATTACCACTTTATTTTAGATAAAGTGTCATAAAGCTAGAAACTACTTGGTTTTTGTTTTTTCCCTTTTCATTAATTACATACACAGTGTTTACGTAGAAGCCTAAAATGTGATCTGTGTGTGTGTGCATATAAACACCATGTGCACACACAGTGTGCGTGTGTGTACACACCCAGTGTTATAGGCGTCCTCTTTCCACCACCACGCACAGCAGACTTACATAATTTAATTTCCTGTGGTGTACCGTGTTTTCCCTCTTTTGTTCGTGTGGATTTTGGGAGTTATTTCACCAAAGAATTGGACAACATTAAACATATTTTTATACTACATTCTTCTCACTTAACAATGGCTTAGTGATTTTTCAGTGTGGTCCCTGCACCAGCAGATGTTGGCATTACCTGGGAACTTTATAACACAACTTTTTTTTTTTTGAGAGAAGGTCTCACTGTGTAGCCCAGGCTGGCCTCAAACCAACAGCAATCCTCCTGCCTCAGCCTCCCGAGTGCTGGGATTACAGGCGTGCGCCACCACGCCCAGCAAGATCCTTC